TTGAATTAAGCTTATGGGTTTTGTTTTCTTCTCATTTATAAATTCCCAAAAAGTGTCTGAGATAGAGGGAATACAGCTGTGTGTACATTCACAATGAGACTCTTAGCCAACTGTTTATGCAGCCTATAGGTGCATTCTTGACCTGATAGGGATGTTCTCTCCATATCTCTTCAATTTGAAGATGGGATGCTGTTGTGCAAGCCCATATAGCTTGTTGGGTAAGGTACCCAGGTCTGCGTGGGTAGTTTCAATGACCTGATTTCAGCCCTTCCCCACCACTATCCGTACAACTCCTGATGGAGCTGAGTGTTGTAGTCATGGGGCCACTGGGTCTTGATCTACACCCCCAGTCTTCTCCAGAGCTACAGGAGAAAGTCTTCAAGAGCATCCTGGGAGGACCACCAGCTCTTCACATACATAGTCACAGCTACAAGATTGGTTGGCACCTCATGTCCCAGCTCTACTCCCTACCACCACCACCACCACCACCACCACCACCACCAATACCACCACCCACATGCAGCAGATTTGGTGATCAGCATCATCTAGACACTGAGCAGGGAGGGGAGATGAAGAACCCAAACAGGAAGCAGATGAAGATCAGCCTGTATTCCCAGTGTTTGGCAGGGCTTAGATGGGTGAGGGTCCCACTGGTGAATGGACACCCCAGAAGAGCCTGGTTCAGCTACAGTCTCAGAAGCAGGGGCCCTAAATCAAAGCTGACATGGAGTATATTCGTGTGGGAAAATATGAAAGAGGTCACACCAAAGCTGAACTGCCCATACCAAAAAGGCCAGCTTGCACAATGGGGGAGAAAAGCTAGCGTTAAACCAAGAAGTGACTATGTGGTGGCTTGAAAGAAAATGGCCCCCCAAAGGGAGTGGCACTATTAGGAGGTGTGGTCTTGTTGGAGGAAAAGTGTCACTGTAGGGGTGGGCTTTGAGGTCTCATATATGCTCAAGCCATACCCAGTGAGATAGACCACTTTCTGCAAGTCACGATGTAAGACTCTCAGCTCCTTCTCCAGCACCATGTCTGCCTGCATGCCACCATGACTCATCATGACGATAATGAATTAAGCCTCTGAAACTGTTAGCCTCCCCCAATTAAATGTTTTTCTTTATAAGAGTTGCAGTGGTCATGGTGTCTCTTCACAGCAACAGAAACCCTGAGACAGCTACAATGAACGCAGAGGGCTACACTGCTCAGAGACCCTCATGGTTTCTCTTCCTTTTCCTCCTCCTGTCTCCATCACAAAGAATTATAAAGCAGAGGAGTGGCTGGCCTGGAGCCACACTGGAGCCCCACTGTTTTCCTAGCAGTCGTGGACGAGAACACTGTGCTAGGGCTGAGAGGGGAGGAGAATCTGAAGCAAGTTGGACATTGAGTTGTATGATGGATTGGAACTGCACTTGTAAGTAACTGAAGTGACCAGAACATCATGGCGACAACCCTGGCTATCGTTAAGGAACCCACTCCACAATGGAAGATGACTCAGAAGGATGGGGAATCAAACTAATGGCTACAGAAGACACAGAAGTTTCCAAGCATCACACAGGGCATTGGATCCTTGAGCCAACCATTCTCCTCCAGGGTTACCTGAGCCTGCCCTTCCCCCTCCAACTTCTCTTTTCCTGCCCACACTATGAGGGTAGCAGGGTTCTGACAGAGCCTGAGAGACAGCCTCTAGGTGGGGTGCTGAATTCTCACAGAAAGGACATGTGCACTCACCTTCCCACTTTGCTGAGAGGGAAAAATGGTAGTTGTCATGAACATTCTAAACCTGTCAGAAGTCATGGGCAAAATGCATTGTGCAAAATGGGATAAGCAAGTTGTTTTATTCTTAGATTAAATTCTGCACATGTAAAATCACACTAGGATAACCTACATTGTAATAACAGAGTTTTTACTAAATACTTCTGATTCTATTTCCTCACTGCTGTGGAGGTGATTTTTTTTAAAGTCACTGGAACATGAGCAATGTGACTGTGAGTGTTAGTTTCTGTCAACTTGACACAAACTTAGAACATATCTGGGCAGGGGGAATGTCAACTGAGTAATTGCCTCCACCAGATTGGTGAGTCCGTGGGAGCATTTTCTTGACTAATGATTTAGGAGGGCCAAGCCCACAGTGGGCGGTGCCACCTCTGAGCAGGTGGTCCCGGGATGTATAAGAAAAGTAGCTGAGCAAACCAGGGAAATCCAGTCAGTTGCAGTGTTCCTTGGTAGTTTCTGTCTCTTCTCCTGCTTGAGTTCTTGCCCCTAATTCCCTCAGTGATCGACTGTAATTGGAACATGTCATCCAAATAAACTCTTTCCTCCCCAAGTTGGTTTTGAGCATGGTTTTTTATCAAAGCAATAGAAAGCAAACTAAAACAATCATATATGTCACTTCTGGATAGGAAGCAGAGTGCAATTGACCATGTTCCTCTTCCTCTGCTTCCACTATCAGGAAGGATGCAGTCTTCCTTGGCCTGGCTCCCTGTATGAGGACAGTATAAAGAAGTGTCCCATCTGACACGAGGTCTAGGTTGTCCCTTGTGTTTTAGCCACAGAAGTCATGAGGCTTGTATGTTATTGCAGCTCATCCTGGTCTCTCCTGACTGAGTCATATTAGCAGACTGATAACTGTCCTCCATTTTGCAGGTAGGCTACGTCCCAATGTGCAGCACACCTTTCTATCAAGTGTGTGGATTATTCAAGGATGGCCTTGAGTTTGGGGACATGCCTGGCTTACCACATTCAGGATCATCAACCATTAACTAGAATCAATAGTGCATTTAAGAGGACATGGGCAAAAGGGCTGTTGTGGAACCTACTCTATTAAGAAGGGAAATGGTACAGAGCAACGCAGAGTGCTGAGACTACATTGTTAAGGTGGCTGTTAGAGGCGGCAGTGGCAAGCACAAGGACTCTTCCAGAGTGATCTACCCTATGCCAACAAGAAGCAGCAAGAGACAGGTGGCTGGCATACTCAGCAAGAGGAAGTTGGTAGTAGGCAGGGTGCGGCCAAGGTTAGGGCCTTCCTAGCATGCCATGAAAATCGCAGAAGAGTAACAAATGCACGCTGAAGGGCTGAGGGGCTTGGGGGTGCTTCCTGGAGATCTAACTTCCCCTGTCCCCATTTGTGCAGCAAGAAAAGGTCAAGGCTCCCAGGAAAGACTTGAACCTCCTTAACGCCGTAGATGTGATCTTGCAGGTCAGTTAGAAACTTTGGGGATAAATGGCCAGGATTCTAATTTAGTTCTCTCTCTGAATTGTTTGATGTTTTGATTTTTGTTATGTCTCTGTCTGCCTGTCTATCCATCCATCCATCCATCCATCCATTTATCCATCCATCTTTCTACAAAGGTATTAGGGCTGTCAGGTTCAACCCCTTTGGGAAGCAAGGATTATCTCTGGGGACCCCTGGGACCTGGAACCCCATCTTCTGTCAGACTCAGTGGTCCTGAAAAAAATGGCCAGCCCCAGCAACCTCATGACCTTCCTGCTGAACATGTCTCCAGTGTTCCCTCCTTGTGGACATGGAGCATGGCTTTGAGCCCTGAGGTGAGACAAAACCAGAATGGACCTATCTTGTGCCTTTTCCTTGACTCTTGAGGCAGCTGTCTTGGAGAAAGCAGAAGAGCAGGGGGTGGGGTGAGCGTTCACCCTGCTGTCAAATGTAAGCTCAGGCCTGCCCCTTTCTACCCCAGGCTGGCTCTCTGCTGGAGGTCAGATCAACTCCGAATCCTCCAGGAATTCCTGCATGGGAAGTGCTGGCCTCACTTGTCTGAAGCCTGTGGCAGTCCTCTGCATTAATAGTGGCTTTTAGTAAAACCCTTCACTGCTCAGAGTGAAAAGGCACTCCCACCGAGGCAGCCCAGGCCCAAGTGGTACAGGAAGCAGAGGCTGCTCTGGTGCCCCCAGGAAGCAGTGAAGGAACCAGCAGTGCTCAGGGTCTGGAGTCAGAAAATCTGAAGACAACACCTACCCTACCTTTCCCAGGCCTTCCCATCACTTTACTCATCCTAGACCTGAATCCACACTTAGGACCCAGCCCAACCCTGCCTGAGTCACCGAGTTATGTTATTACCCATGACAGGGCACGTGACCCAGCAGACACAGCGACTGGTATATAAGTAACCAGCAAGCCAGCTATCCCCATTGCCCTGAAACTGAAACCTCATTTCTGAAAACAGAGAGGAACTGGATAGGGGTACCAGATGATGAGGGGCTGTGTAACAAGGGCTCAGATCCTTTTCCAAGGAAGTCTAGCAGGAGAAAAGGTTGGGGCGGGGGTTCAAGGGAAATTATCTTCTGTGTACCCACAGAGGACAAAGGTCCAAAAGAATCTGGAAAAGCTATCCAAGTTGGTAATCACAAAGGTTATTTTCAAGGACAGCCTTGCATGGGGAGAGAGTGGAAAGTAAATAATGCCACTCACGGGAGACCCAGGCACGTGGCCCCTAGCCTGGCCCTAGGCACATCATCAACCCCTATCCCAAAGCCTTGCAGAGTTCACCAGCAGCCTCACGTATGTGTGCCACACAGAACTGAGATCTGGACCGCCCAAACCCCACTGGGCTTCAGCTTTCCACCTGAATTCCAGCCCAGGGTCCAGATCACAACCGACACAGCCACACTCACCAGACTGAAGCCGCAGAACAAGCACATCTGGGGTCCTTCCCCCCAAAGCTCCGCCAGCCACATTCCAGTTGTGGTTTAAGGGAAAGACCCCAGAATGGGGATACTTTGGGGCATCTGAGAGGGTGAGGGTAAGGGAGAATTAAAGCATCCACAATGGCAGGCAAGGGCCAAGAGGACCAGTGGCATCTTCACGGGGCGTACACACCACCCCAAGGCCACTGTATCCCCTGCTGGCACCCCACTAACAGCAACCTAGACTTTGCAGGATCAGGCTTGAGCACCTAGGCCAGAAACACCAGGAAACCTTCTGGGAAATGGGGCTTTTCCTTCAGAGGGGGCCACACCCCCCCCCAAAAAAAAGAGGCACCAGCTGCCAAAGTTTACTCATTTTTATTTTTTATAAAACAAGCTACAAATACTTCCCCTTGCTCCCTCCCTCCCAAGGGAAACCCACACAGCACAGCCTGCACCCATCTGTGAGAGAAGATGGCCGGGTAGATTCTGAACTCCTACGTGGAGGTGGCTTCTCTGTGCACATGTTCCCTTCAGGCCGGGAATCGGGGCCCGAGTCTGCTGTGAGGGCCATCTGGCTCCAGCACACTGTTTTATTTTGTTTGTTTGTTTTCTTTTCTTTTTTTGGTCAAGGCTCCAGGAAAGGGTCACTGGTCATGACGGGACCACATGTGTGACTTTCTGCAGAATATCAGGAACCTCTTGTAACCAACACTCCAGCAAATCAAGTCCCGAGAAGGCTGTGTTCCCCATACCTGGAAAAGCATGTATGAGGCCAATGCCTTCCAGACCCAAGATAGAAGAGGGTCTACCAAGGTGGATGCGCTTCTGGGATACTGAGATGGAATACCAGACAAGGCCAGATTGCCAAGAACAAGCCAGCGAAAGCACCAGCCCTGAACTCCTGACCTCCCTCACTGCCACGGCGGCGGGCAGTGGAAACAGCTGCTAAGGGTCACTTGCTGCTCTGACCGAAGGCCACCTGAATCAGTATGGCACCTAGACAGAAGGAGCTGCTTATCTGTCCTGAAGGCCAGATGGCCACTCTGCAATCCCAGTAACACCCTGTGCAAAAGCCTGGATTCCCCTAGAGCTGGATTATTATTCCTAGTTCTCCTGGGGAAGCAGAAGCAAGGGACACCACATGAATTTTACTCCTAGAATTGGTCCGTGGGTCTGGAAGTCCATGAGGAAAGTTGAAGGAATCAGAGGACCAACTCCAGTATTGGCCAACAAGGTGAGGATTAGGCTGAGAGAGGGAGGGAGAGCATGGAAGTAAGACACAGTCTGACGCTAGCGTTGGGGGAGACGTGCCCGTGGAGCCTCTCCTGTGGGTTTGCAGAAGGGCCGGCGCAGGCCTGTCCTCTCCACCATCTCGTCGGATGCCAAACACCTGCTGAAGGAGAGCCCTGCTGGGTGTCCCTTTCTCACGTGCTTGGTGTATCCGCTCCGGTGTCCTACATGGGGCAGGTGCTAAACATGGGTGGAAATGTTTAAAGTAACCCAATTCAACCCCTTCCAGCATAATTTGCTCAGGTATTTACCCTAGACTGCCAAGGGTATCTGAATAGTAGGAGTATGGGGGCCACTGGAGAATTTTGGAGTCCATGATGGCCATCACGTGAGCTGAGCTCCACTCATACCCATCCTATGGTCAAGGGACAGACGTTGACAGCTAATGTCACGGAGCAGCACACTCTTCCCACCAGAAGAGAGCTGATAGTGCCCGCAGCGCGAGCACAGGGCCGCCATCTACTCTCACACAGAGTCCATGTCCACTGAAACCCAGGTAAGCTAAGGATGCAGTCTGAGGGGGCTGGACTATGATGAGTCCAGAGGAAGGAGACAAATAGCAACGCCAATGCCTGTACAAAAGAACTATACAATTTACATATATATTTATATACAGTATATAAATCTCTTTCCTCTCCATCCCCATAGCAATCCCCCTCCCCAATAACCTACAAGTTGTCAGTAGCCGATCCAAAGACTTAACAATAGAAGAGAGAACAAACAGCTTTTCTTCCCTTTCCTGTTCCCGCTGCGGTATTAGATAACTGGTGTTTACAAATGAGACCCAGAAACAAAACACACACATAAGAGTTACTGAAAGTGCAAACATGGCAGGCACCGCTTATGGTACATGGGCTGTGGCTGGGCGTGGGCAGCGCTGAACGTTGGGTGTCTGATGGCTGGTCCTGTCTCCTTGGACTCTCCACTGGCCCTTGGATTTTCTGCTCCTTAGACAAGGCGTCCAACTGGGAGAGAAAAGGAGAGTACAGAAAGAAACGTGATATAAGCCAGAGGTTAGAGCCAGGATTATGAAATGTTCAGCTCCCTGGGCGAGTTTCAGCCTTTGCACAAGGAACATGGACTGGGTGGGCCACAGGCTGCCTAAGTGCTCCGACATGTGCATCTGCTCACAGTATCTGGAGTCGGTTCGGAATTGCAAAAACCTTGACTCTGCCGGACAAGCACAGGATGAGGGTGTGTTCTTTTTTCTTTCTTTTTTTTCTTTTCTTTTTTTTTTTTTAAGATTTATTTATTATGTATACAGTATTCTGTTTGCGTGTATCCCTGCAGGCCAGAAGAGGGAGCCAGATCTCATCACAGATGGTTGTGAGCCACCATGTGGTTGCTGGGAATTGAACTCAGGACCTCTGGAAGAACAGCCAGGGCTCTTAACCTCTGAGCCATCTCTCCAGCCCAAGGGTATGTTCTAACCAGACCATACTCCCTCAGCCTGGAGCAAACGACAGGTGTCTGCGACAGGTGGGGGTGACAGAATCCTCTTAGCGCTGGTACCATGTTCCTCTTATGACCCCACCAGATGCCAAGTGTGGCCCCTAAAGTGACCTGGCCAACCAACGGCTTTGCTGCTGGGCTGCCACAGCTTCAGCAGGGTGTCCACAGAAGAAAGGGGGGAGGGCCGGAAAGAAGACAACTTACTGAATGGGTTTGTGCCTGCTCGTTTTCCCTGGGGGAAGCTGCCAAGGCTACCACCTGCAACAAATAGGAACATATGACATGGGAGAGGCTTGGCCCAGAGAGCTGGCAGAGCTTGTATCTGAGTCCCTGTCCCCTCTGCCTTCAGAAGGGACGGGAGAGGGAGGAAGCCGGAGAGGCATGGCTGTGCTTCCTGTTCTGTGGGCGCCTACTGCTGTGGGCTGCCTGCTTGCTGTCCACCAACTCCCTCAAACAGTCTCTTTTCTCTAGGGCAAGCTAGGGTGTCTCTCTGGTGTCTTGCTGCTACGCCTGCTGTCTCTGCCGTTGTTTTTGCTGGAGCAGCCTCTCTCTCTCTGCAGTCCAGGCTGACCTTGAACTCATATTGGCAGACACCAACAGAAGAAAGAATAAACAGTTCTTCTCCACTTTCCTTTTCCCACTGTGGTGTTGGACGACACTTGCGATGCCTCTTTGGAATTCCCTCACCTCTTAGCTAAGAAGGGTTTTAGTGGCTATTGCCATAACTCTCTTGGTTCTGGTTCTCTAGGTCCTGTAATATCAGAGGTGAGGGGGGGGAACCTTAGCCCCTTCACTTGCCAATCCTGGCAGCAAAGGCTCAGAGTGACTTACATGAGGTCCGAGACCCGAACTGTTAACACCCACTCCTGCACACAGGCTGCCAAACACCACAGCAAGCTGGCCATGGTGCTCCTTCGAGACCTGATCTCCCAAAGGAGGAACTTACCGGGAGCCGGGCCCGTTTCCTGTGTCTCTGAGCATGCCTCTGGACCTCACAGGATGGGACCAGAAGACAGAATTAGGATGACACCTATGCTGTTTCTACTCTGACTCCCATGCAGGATTGCCCCAAGGATCGGATGAATTCATGGAGGATCGGGGGTTCAGCCCTGCTGAGCCTGAGCTTACCTATATAGATCCATGACCCCACAGCTCAGCATCTCCCAACATTCGTAAGACCCAAGAGAGACAAAGTAAGGGTAGACGTTGGTACATCCAAGTTTGCAGATGAGGTCACAAATTCAGGACAGGAAGAGAAGCAGACCAAAGGCAGGCAGGTGGGGAAAAGCATCTCCAGGCTGCATGACCTCAGAGTCCCTATTTACTCTGCTCCACTCGGCAGCTGCTGCCCTCAGTGGTAAACACAGAGATCTGTACACAGATCTCTCTGTCCACAGAGAGAGGAGGCCTAAGGCAGTTCTGGCCCCGCTTCATCAGCTGAGGTCCAGAAAACAAAAATGGAAAGCCAGGGGCACATCGCTGTACCTCAGCAGATTTCAATAAGAGGAGCAAGGCGATCCCCATCTAAGGAGGCTAAGAAACCAGAATGGCCCAACGTTCCTGGGAGGAAACAAACCCAGCGCTGGCTATCGGTCGCTGGACCCATGCTCTGGACCCTCAGAGGGAGAAGAGAAGCTTGGGCCCAAGGGACAGCTGTGCTGCCGAGCCACCAAGACCCTAGTCCTCACGCTGCTTGCTTTACAGGCTGGCGACAATAATCCTGACAAATGTGCTTTGTAAGTTGGAATAGACTAGTTAAAAAAGAGACCCGGGCCTCCAAATATCAGTAGGCTCTGCCATGCTGGGCAGGGGATTCAGGTCTCCAATGAGAAGGTAAAAGAAGCCATGTTCATGTGGCATCTCTAAAAGTCTGGTCCCTCAGACCCAAAACTACACTCCTCAAGTCCCACATCCTCTCCCCACCCACCTTGGGCCCCCACCTGGCATGCAAACCCCTCTCCAGCCACCAGAGGGCGCCACATAATACCAGATGACATGTGCCTGGGCTCCTGCATACCATCCAACCAAGAGGCTTTGTGCCCCCAGAACAGAGGGAGGCCATGGGGTTGCCAGCAGCACCTCTGGTCCATGGGTAGATTCCTCTGCTACTGGTAGCTCCTGTGTGTTTACTGTGCACGCAGACTCTGGCCCACCCTTCATCGGGTCCTCCTCCCTAGTGCTCCTCACTCCTCCCTAGTGCTCCTC